TATGTCCCAGTTTATTGTGCTTTCATTGATCTGAGGTCGCCTTGGGATTCCATTTAAGGGATTTTTATTATTGGAAGTATCAAACATAAAGAAGATTTTGACCCTGATGTAATCTATAATTTAGATCTTCAAAACATTATAGTAAGGAAGCATTCACCTTGTATGCTCTGGGGTGAAACCAAAAACTAGACTTTCTGCTACTTGATAAAACGAATATTACTGTAGGGTTTATATATAAGTTTCTCTGATAAAAGCACAAAGGTCATTGTAGTGAACATACAGTTTAGTAGAAGAACTGAATTAATGTATAAATTGAGGCATGTCAAAGGAGGAAGTATTGGAGTTGCCCCAATTTTTTTAGCATGTAAGGCCATAAGTATTTTTTTCAGAAAATGTAATTTTAGTTAGTTATTGTATCAGTATATTTCATTTACCATCCTAAGTTACTGTATGTGATTATTAGAATACATACTTTTAAAATGAGCTGCTAACAGCTTTATTAAATATTTTTGATAAGGTTAATAATGTGCAGGCCATTGTTATATCTGTTGTCAAAGTAGTCAAGAATAGAAAAACAATAAGCAAGGATGAATAGGTGAATCTTGGAGTACACTTTAATCCCGAAAGTTTTGTTTATAGATTTGTTTAGACATATCTTTGTATATATATTATATACTTGTGATTATCAAATACTATTTGATGTTAATATTGAAATCAATACCTGCTCTTTTAATTATATTTATTAGACTTTAAAAGTAGTTAAAGAATGCAAAAGAGTAAAGGTTCTCAGTTATTTAAGACAATATTGGGGTCAAATAGAACCTCTCATATAAGTTATGCTGAAATTACAGTTTTATTATTTTGATGCCCAAACATCAGTAGATACAATAATGCTGAGTTCTTAACATAATTCTATGATGGTATTTGTAGAAGACTCTTCATTCATACCTGAAGGTAACACGTACCTGGAGTGTAACCTATAGTGTACCTTAAAAAGGAATCTGATTTTCATAAAAATTGAGAAGCAAACAATGGTAAAATTATGGGTGGATTCATGTGATACCATGTTACTACTTAAAAAAAAAACTTACTGAAAACACAAACATTAAAAAATAGAGCAAATCATATGAAGAGAGTTGTATGAAGCTGGATACATTGTATATCACCTGGGAGTTACAAACTTGTGGCCAACTTTGTTTTCTCTGTGCCCCCCCTGCCGCTCTGGATTGGAAACAAATTCAAAACATAATTTCATTTTATTCATAAATATTTCATTAGGTATCTTGAAGAAAAACATTTTTAAAAACAACTCTAATATTTATATTTTCAAATAACTAGTCAGTGTTCAGATTTTCCTGTTTGTCTCAAATTCTTTTTTATAGTGTTTGTTGAAATCAGGATCTAAGTAATATGTATACAATGCAATTGGTTGATATGTTTCAAGTATCTTGATATTATAGATCTCCATTCTTTTTATGTATTCTCCCTTTCAGAATATTTATTGAAGAAACTGAGTTATTTGTCGTATAGAGCCTTCTCACAGTCTGGGTATTGCCACATCCCCATGTTTACTGTGTTTTTCCTTTGCCTGTATTTTCTATAAACTGGTAGTTACATTTAAAGACTTGACCAGATTTAAGTTTTACTTTTCAACAAGAGCACCTAATAGGTAGTGGTGTGTATTTCGGTCAAGAAGCATATTATCTAGTTGTCCTCCTTTGTTGCTATTAACAGCTATTTGATGGTCATTACCTAGATTTATTATCTCATTTAGGGTTCCAAATCATGATATTCTAATTCTGTACTTCCTCATTCACTTACTAACTGGAATATTTCCTTAAAGCAATATTTCTACATAACAACTATTTGATAACTCTGAGGTACATTTTTTATAAGTATAGGCAGGATAAATTCTAGAATCTTTTCACTTATTTAGAACTTTTTCAAAAAATGATTTGAAAATCTAGCATCTCCTAAAGGTGATTGATGAGTTTTTAAGACATATTTTTATAAACACATGAATTTATGTTTATGTTTGAAATGTTTAAATTCTTTGCTGTATTTATTTTTATCAGTGTTCAAATTGTCCTCTCTTTTGTAGGAACCTCCTTCAATTCATTCTTGAGTCCTTTTGATATGACTCCATTAGTAGTCAGTCATTGTTTTTTTACTTTGTGTTATGACAAGGTACTCATATTATTTTCTGTCCCAGACTTGTAATCTCCCATTTCTCTAAGGAGCTCTAGTTTCTTTTAGTAGGAAATGTATTTAAAAATTATAGTCTGGGAACCAGAGGTAATTTGTAATAGAGCTAGAAAATAAATTTCCCTTTATAAAGAAAAAAATCTGAGTTTGTATATATGATAGTTTCCACTTAAATTCAGGATTATAGAATTCAGTCTTATCTATATATCCTTTTGAACAAGCTGAAAACTGTGGCTCCTAATGATGTCATCCTAATTACTTTTTGTTTTATCCCCCAATATAAATAGAATGTTCTTACAACTAACAATATGATTACTACAAATGTAGGATTTCTTTCCTTAAGGATATATCCTTTGTTGAATAAATGGATAAATTACCATGTTTTAACATCTTTTGTAATAATTCCTCTTTGGGTAAATTTACCAATACCTCTGTTTACAGTTAAGTTAGTTTGTTTCAATTAGTTTTGATATATAAGGATTCATCTTTCAAGATGGAATGTTGTTTTATAACTATGTTAAATAGTTACGTGGTTCCCAAAGTCAAATCAGTGAAACAAAGGATATTCAGAGAAATTTAACTTCTTTCCTGGTCCCTTTCCTTCCTACTTACCTCTGTAAGTCACCATTTTAAAAAGTTTTAGTTAATATTTTTGCATCCATTCATCCCCTCCATCCATCCATCTCTCCATCCATCTCTCCATCTGTTCCTCATCTTAGATAAACATTAGCATACTGTACATTTTTCTACCTTGCTTTTTTTACCTTGCAGTATACACTGGAGATGACTTTACAGTATACAGTCTCAAAGGTGGTCAAGGATACCACCCCATAGGGGCAAAAGTGGTTCTTGAAGGGTGGAAAAATCTTGGCTATTGTAATGGTTTGTGGCCCTCCAAAGGACTACAGTATGTAACAGATAAACAGTATATCTGTGATACTAAAATTTCATGGGCGAGTTGTTGATTAGGAATAAAAATATCTAAAAAGACTTTTTAGGGTGGCCGTAGTGAAAAGAGGGTGAGAAACTGCTCTGTGACGGTATACAGTATATTAATTGATATTCTTCAATTCTACCAATTTTAAAAGTATGTAGTGTCTGTTATGATATATTCAGCTAGCCCCCATTGGTTAACATTTGGGTTGTTTATATCCTTTTGCAGTTAACAATGCTGCAATGAACATACGTTCTTTTGTATTTTTACCAGTGTATCTTTGAGACAGATTCCAAGAATTGAGATTCCTAGGTCAAAAGCTAATTGCCTGTATAATTTTGCTAGACCCTGCCATAATGCGTATTTGGGAATTAGACACTGCCAAATTCCCCTTATGGCAGTGTTTTAGTTTGTACTGGTAGAGATGTTCTAATAATTGTGAGGGGTTGGTACCATTTATGAGAATCTTATTATTCTTCTAGTTAGCTGTAAGAAGTATAATTTTCATATTTCAAAATGCAAATTTGTTATTTTAAGTAAATGTTGTGTGTCTGAATGTGTGTATATATAAATGTTTGTTATTTAATTTAGTTATAAATGTTTAAGATTGAATTTAAACATTTGTATATGAATATTTAAAAACTTCCCCCAAAGATAGAACTTAAAAAAAAGTTTTATCCTGTGGTATAAACAGATTTCCTAATGGTCCATATCACTTAATTTTTGGAATACTTTGGACCAACTAGATTACCTAGGTTTCTTCAACCCATTGTTTTTATAAAGCTATTAGCCCTGCCTGGTGTGGCTCTGTTCGTTGGGCGTTGACCCACAAGGCAATATGTTGTCACTCGCCAGTTTGATTCCCAGTCAGGGCACGTGCCTGGGTTGCTGGTTTGGTCCCTGGTTGGGGCACATGGAGGAGGCTGCTGATCAATGTTTCTCTCCCTCCCTTCCCCTCTCTCTAAAAATAAGTAAGTAAATAAATAAATAAAGCTATTAGATAGTGTAGCAAATATTCCCTTGTATATGAAGGTATTCATCCTTAGTGCTCTGCAGGGCAGGGACTGCATGCGACCATTCTTGTCATTTGGACAGTGCATGCTTATTCTAAAGGTTCCAAATAGTGTTATTTGCCTTAACCATCCCCACAACTCTGCCCAGATTGGAGTCCTCACTTTAATCCTAGCTAGGATCTGCAACTATTAGAGGTAGATTAAAAAGAAACATTTTATGATAAAAAGTTTCATGAATACATTGTAGTTCAATATTTTTGTGTTTTCAGTCTTTTGTTCTAATGACTTTCAATTAACTGACATGAGGGATATTGCAGGTAACTCAAACTGATGATGACAGATTGAAATGAGTCAATCTGTCCCTATAGTCAGTCCTTCAGATACTTATATGCACCTAAAGCAGGACCAGGCACATAGTAGGTGCTTGTATCTGTTGAATAAATGAATGGCTTGGGAGCTACTGGCATTGATACTCAGTAAATGGTTAATGATGATAGGATTTTTCTCCCTCCCACCTTCCCGCTCTCTTTCCCTCTCCAAAATCAATTTTAAAAACAGGAAAAGACTTAGAATATCTGAATATTTTATTTGTAGAAGTAAACAAAAAAGCAGTCATGAAATTTCTAGAGCCAGCTTTCCTACAACATGTTTAACTGGATGTTAAAGAGAAAATAGAATTTGGGAGGTGCCATGAAACTATTGGGAGTTATTTTTGTTAAAGAACTCCATTTTACTAACATATCACATTATTGCACAAGTACTGTCAGAGTTCTGCCTACTGGTTCCCTTAACTGTGGAGTGAATTTGGATTTTTAATGACTGTAAATAACATTTCTCGTCCTTTGTAGGCATTTGGGATCACAGCTTTGTGAGTTAGAAAAACTGATAGATAAAATGATGGTTGCAGAATTTTCTACTTATTCTCACAGTGACTTAAATAGACCACTGGAAGATGACTGTCAAATTTTAGAAGAGGTATGTATTTTGAACTGTGGAATGAAATTGATGTCATTGCTTAGTACTAATTCCTAACAACCTTAGTTTAGAACACATTCTCAGATTATGGTGAACAAAATGACATTAAATTTCAAGCTCCATTTGACCTAGGAAGTCCTTCACTACATGACTTTAGCAAGTACCATAATTGTTTATTAGTCCGTGAAATTAGAAGGTAAAATAATTTTATAGCTTAATTAGAAATTAGAGTTAAAATGAAGTCTTTATTTAGCTTGCAAAGTTCAAAATACAGATATAGAACAAATTAACATATATCCATGTGTATGCATGTATTGGCGTATATCTTTTTAAAAAGTGGTCATTATTATATGGTAACTTGTCAGTCATTCTTTAGTCATTCACTGAATACCTATTATGAACATGTTTTATATAAATGCATATACAAATATATCATATTCAGGCTTTACTTATCTGGTAACTTTTTAGTGCTGATTACTGCCAAGAACTAGTTAAGAATCCAAAAAGCCCTGATAGCAGTCTAAGTAGTTAAGAGATATTTGTACCTATTTGCAGTTCCACAGATAGTCCAAGTCATCATTCTAGTCTTCTAGACCACTAATTAAAAAACACATGGGTCACAGAGTATTTATTGCTCAGCAGGATCTGCAAAGGACACTTTCTAGCTACTTGAAACTATGCCAAAATATACTCTTGTAAGATTGTTTTGCCCCCAAACAAGCTTCATTTGATCCACTGTTGTGGAATAGAATTTACCTGTTTTTAAGCACTGACTCCAAAAATCTGATGATAAGATTGCTGTGGAAAGAGGGTTTTTTGTTTGTTTGTTTGTTTGTTTGTTGTTTTTTTTTTTAGGCTTCTAGAATATACCACATGAAAGATAGAGTTCTGAGCATCAAAACAAAACGCTTGATATTTAATATTTCTACCTGTGAGATTATTTGATATATAAGATATGAGTTACATACTCTTCTTTTATTTTGATAGGAAAGACTAATGTCTCTTGTATTTGGACTTTTAAAACAAAGAAAACTTAATTTTTTAGAAATCTATAGTGAAGAAATGATTATTACGGCAAAGAATATCATTAAACAGGTAATTACATATTTTTTATATGATCTGTTTTGGTCTAGAATCTTTGGCGAAGTTTATTTTTACATTATTCTAGAAATAATATACAGGGTCTGGCACAAATAATGCCTCTTTTTAATTACAAAACCATAAGCATGTAATTCTGTAACCTAACAATATCATACGCAAGCACACTATATGACATTTTAGGTGCAATGTTCAAATTAAAACTGAATTATTACACCCAAATTATTACCCTACCAACCACATTCAAGTGGGCCTTACTTCTGCTGGACGCTGTATGTAGTATAATAGTAGTATTTTCTCATTTATTTAAAAATTAAAAATGTAGAAAAGTAAAAAAAACCCGAAAAACAACATAGCACTATCAGCCAAAATATTATCATCTAAGAATATTTCTAAGTGTAAATTGTTACTGATGTTTTTCAGTGTTGCTATCATACTGTATATAGTATTTTGATTTGTGCATATATTTTAGTTAGAAACACAAGCATATTCTCAGTATGTAAGCCTTCATAGACATCATTTTTAGTGGTTGTATAAAATTTCAACAATATTATGTTAGTTAAACCTTAACCATTTCTCTATGCTGTATGTTTAGGTTGTTTTCAGTCTGGTACTATAAAGAACATTGTGACAACTGTCTGTGGTATAAAGTTTTGTTTGGTTTTTTTCATAAGAGTGTTTCCTTATAACAGATTTCTAAAAGTGGAATTATTGGTTAGAGTGTATCCAATTTTTAAATTGTTTGAAATTACCAATATACGATCATCAGCAGTAGATAAATATTCATTTCATCTTACTCTGATCTCTAAGAAACCATAATTGTAAACTCAAAACCATGTTTTTTTTTTAGTCTTTCCTGATCTTTGTTGTGACATTTTTTTACTAAGATAAATCTTACTCACTGAACTTCAGTTTTTCTATATATGAAAATGAACAATCTAAAATGTATTTTCTAGGCTTAGTTGATTATCATCAAGTTGAATGTTTGAGTTTTTAATGTTTAAATAAAACAAACCAAATAAAAGATTACAATCACCCCATCTTTTACCTCTTTCAAAAACTAAAACAGTATTTTTAAATTATTAATATCACTTTCAGAAATTGATGGCAATATCTACTAGTGCTAAATATATACTTTATTATTAGCAGTTCTGCCCCAAAGTACTACCTGACAGAAATGCATATGTAAGCTCACCAAAGACTTTTAGTGGCAGCACCATTTGTATTAAAAAGTAGAAAAAAAATGTATAATCATTAGAAAAGATAAATAGAATCATGGTATATTTATGCAGTTGAATACTATACACCAATGAGAATGAATGAATTATGTGGAACAGTATGGATGAATATCACATACATAATGTGGAACCAAAAAACCAGACACAAAGGAATATACGCAGTATGGTTCTTCTTATGTGAATTTCAAACACTGGCCAAATGAATGTATTGTACCAGAAATTAGGATAGTAGTGACTTTTGAGAGGAAGTAGTCAGTTACTAGGAGGGGAGCAGGAGAGTAGCTTATTGGCAGTATTCAGTTTCATGATCTGAGTTCTGGTTACACAAGTATACCCCATTGTGAAAAATTATTGACCTATAAACATAATTTGTACAATTGTCTGTACAATATACTTTTAAACAAGTTTTTTTAAAAAAGAACTGGTGTTTTAATTCCCAGACTTCTTCTGAAGTCTAAGCATTTTTTAAAAACTTTAAACTGTTGTGTGTATTGCAGGGGAACATAACTTCCAAAATAAATTTCTTTTGGACTTAAACCAATTACATTTAAGTCTAGTTGGTATACAGTATTATATCAGTTATATTAGTTTCCAGTATACAATGTAGTCATTCAACATGTTTATACTTTATTATATGATCATTCCACTAATTATAGTAACCATCTGTTCCTGTGCAAACTTTTCACAGTATTATTGACTGCATTTCTCTTCTCTTTTCCACTCATCTCCTCACCCAGAAACCATATAGTATTTGTCTTTCTCTACCTGACTTATTTCCCTTAGCATGGTACCCTCTAGATTTATCCATGTTCTCGCAAATGACAAGATTTCATTCTTATTGCTACATAATATTCCATTGTACAATATATACACACCACATCTTCTTTAGCCATTCATCTGTTGATATTCCTGATGAACAAAATTGTCAACAAAATACTAGCAAACGGAATTCAACAGTACCTTAAGAAGATTATACATCATGATCAAGTGGGATTTATACCAGGCATGAAAGGGTGGTTCAGCATTCAAAAAACAATGTCATGACATCAGCAAAAGCAAGGATGAAAATCCTGTGGTTATCTCAACAGATGCAGAATAAGCATTTGACAAAATTCAACATCCATTTCTGATAAAAACTCAACAAAATGGGCATAGAAGGAACTTACCTCAACTTGATAAAAGCTGTATGTGACAAACTCACAGCTAACTTCATACCCAATGGTGAAAATCTGAAGGCTTTTCCTCTAAGGTCAGGAACAAGACAAGAATGCCCTCTCACCACTGTTGACTCAAGTACTCAAGTCACAGCATTCAGACAAGAAAAAGAAATAAAAGGCATCCAGATAAGAGAGGAAGAAATAAAACTGTCATTATTTGCAGATGACATGATACTATATATAGAAAACCCTAAAGATTCCACCAAAGGCCTGACCAGTGTGGCTCAGTTGGTTGAGCGTGCCGCAAAATGAAGTCACCAGTTCAGTTCCTGTCAGGGCACCTGCCTGGGTTGCAGATTCAGACCCTGGTTGGGGTGAGGACAGAAGGCAGCCGACTGATATGTCTCTCTCATATCATTGTTTCCCTCTCTTTCTCCCTCCCTTTCCCTCTCTTTAAAAATAATCTTTAAAAAAAATGGAATCTACCAAAAAGTTAATGGAATTAATAGAAAAAGTTCAGTAAAGTAGCAGGATATAAAGTCAATATACAGAAATTTGTCATATTTTATTTGGAATTTTAATATGGGGCTTATATCTTATTCCCAAGTATTACAGTTCTGTTCTGTGTTATGTTTCAAACAGTTTTTAAATAGTAGGGGATTTTAATTACAGTTCAAGTGACTCTAGAATAATTATTTAATAAGATAACAGTAATGCTGAAGTATTTAAAATGCTTTGATGTATGTATAAGAGACACAAGAGAAATCTCATAAAATGATTATCAGAGTTATTGAGGCCCTTTTAATTTAATTTTTAGATGTATTTTCAAAGTAATACTTTTTTTTTTTTTACTTTGTAGTGAGTGCATTGAGGCCCTTTTACATATATAATTGAACATGACATGTAGTACTTAGAATTCACATTAATCACATTTTTTTCTTAAAATTTGCAGTGTGTCATTAATAAAATTTCACAAATAGAAGAACTAGACACAGATGCTGTTATGAAGTAAGTATAAATATTAGGTTGGGGTTTATCAGTCACAGAAATGATGGCACAGACATGGAAAGAGAGCAGTTAATAGAATTCAGGAGAATGACATGTATTGGTTGGAAAAAAAGACATACAGTAGTTGAAGTGATCTTCACTGGAAGGAGACAGTCATCTGGAAGGCAGCCCCTCAAAAAGGGGAGATGGAGCTATAAGCACCTTTCCTCTTTCCAATCTTTTGTAAGGGTCCCTCACTGGCCAAGTCCAGCAGGGCAGCCTCCCAGGGCAGAGAGAAGGTAGAAAGGACAAAGTGTAGATGTAGAAAGGAAAAATTGAAGATAATCCATTTCGGAGGAATAGCAGTGTTAAATTTAAATTACTATGTCAAATAAAACAGAGCTTCTAATTGGCTTTGAGAAGTTTGAGTACAGGATTTTGAATTGCCATGTCTGTAATTTTTCTCATCCTTGAAATCCCTATTTTATTTTGAGAATAGTGATAAATATTTTATGATTATGAATTTCTTATTCATAAAGATACATAAACTTTATTAACTGGTCTAAAATATGAATAGCTATATGGACAACTTGTGAAACTTCTCTGGGTCTTACTCATGGAATGAGAATAATAGAGATTTAATTTCCACACTGTTTTCTAGTGAAAACTCAGTTTCAGAATTAGGTGAAGCAACCCTCATAATGCAGGAACCATTAGTACAGTAATTGGAAAAATTAAGTTAATTGGGACTCTGTTAAAAGCCCTATAGACAGGGAGAATCAGTTATTTGGAATTTCTTTTCTTCCCTAGGGAATTTTCTCAAATAGAGAACTTTCTGTATCTCAAGTACAGGAGTATCTCTGGGAAATAAACTCTAAGCCTCAGCAGTACTCATTAAAAATTTGAAGTAATAAGCCATTGTAGTACTATAAAATATTTTTATGGAACTATTTTGCATTAATTTTTTATCGTAAAGTTAAGTGATTGGTGTCAGCTATAAAAATATTGTTTATATGATTATATATTATACTAAGATACATAATAATGAGTATAGTATGTATTATATCCACTATATATTACATATGTATGTATACTATATGATACTGGCTAATACATAGCACTTTTTTATGCACCATGAATTGTTCTATGTACTTCTTATTAATTCATTTAATATTCACAGCAACCATATAAGGTAAATTCTGCTACTTTCCCTATGTTAAATTGAGAAAATTAGAGCATGGAGGGGTTAAGCCACTTGTCCAGAGTGATACAATTAGTAAATGGCCAGGCTGGTACTTGAACCACGGCAGTGTGGCCCAAGAGTTCATATCCTCAGTCACCATGTCATATGTGGAAAAATATTTAGTTTGTAATTAGAAAAGTACGTTATTAAGTTTTTTTGAGAGCGATGTTATGTTCCTATTTTTATCTATTTCAGAATATATCTTCTCCACCTTAATCCAAAATTGGGATATTTCTCTGGCTTTTCATTCAGTGGCCATGAGTTGTGGTCACATGGAATTATTATATAAGATTCTTAAGTCAGTGCACTTGACTAGACTAGTCTTAGAGATATTTAAACAAGAAGGAGTTGTTTGGTAATTGACTTTAAATAAATTTTATGATATCAGTTAGGTATCTAGATAAAATTGCCTGATTCTTCTGTTACTAGATAGTATTTAGTATAGCTTCCTTTAATTTGTAGGTTTTGTTCATATATCATTTGTCCCAAAGACAATCATTATTTTTGTCTGAATTTTTTTTCCCCTAGGCTTGCAGATCAGATGAGAATGTTGAATTTCCCTCAGTGGTTTGATCTGCTAAAGGATATTTTCTCTAAGTTTATAGTTTTCCTACAGAGAGTTAAGGTAAGCTTATGTGATTATCAGTTTATCCAGAATATCCCTAAAATTAAGTCAAGTTTATAGGTGTATAAATATATGTAGAATCAATTAGAATAAAACAATTTCTTTGTTTTTGTAATTTTTCTAAGAGGCTTGGTTTTCAATAAGATTTGAAGTATTTCAGAGTATTTTGGTACTTTGTATAATTTAGATGATTTGTTTTATATTAAGAAATATGTTTGCTTGGCATTAAATGTTGTACAATAGTATTTTCTCTTATGATTTTGTGATACTTGAATCTCTCTAGATTATCTGGAGGTCCAATGTTGTGAAACATTCAAAAGTCTGTCTGAAACCACTTAATTTTTTTAGAAACTTAGTGTTGATAATAATGACATTTTTAAATATAAGTTCATGTTAAAATTGCTTTATTAATGTTTTTTATTGCAGGGTTTTATTTCATTTTTCAATCTGGTATCCAATCAAGGATCTTGTATTACATTTAATTACTTTGTCTCCTTAGTCAAACCACTTTTAGGCCACTCCGTTTAAGAAAAAGAACACATCACACAGCATTTTTCAGGAGAAAAGATGTCACAGACTCTAATATAGCAGCCCCCAGCCTTTTTGGCACCAGGGACCCGTTTTGTGGAAGACAATTTTTCCATGGACAGGAGCAGAGGGGATACTTTCAGGATGATTCAAGAGCATTACATTAATTGTGTACTTTATTTCTATTATTACATTGTAATATATAATGAATAATTTTACAACTCCCCATAATGCAGAATCAGTGGGAGCCCTGAGTCTGTTTTCCTGAAACCAGACAGTCCCATCTGGGGGTGATGGGAGACAGTGACATCTGAAGTGTGTTGCTTATGTCCAGTCTACTGTATAATCTTGTTTTGGTTGCTGTCACTGCAGAAAACCCTACTTCACAAAGACAGGATGTTGGAAATGGAAGCGGGCTTTTCAGTGCTTTTGTGGCAGTTGTAGGATATCTCACCTTGACTTTAATCCAGAACATACGGAGATTTGAAGTTGCCTGAAACATACTTTTAAGGCCACCGTCAACTGCGATCTCAAGCAGTTGATCCTCTTCTAGCACAGACAACATCAATTCACCCGGCTTATTCACAGATGGGTCGGACATTTGTTTTTTACTCATTTTAGCTAGAGTTAGCATGTGGGCTTACCAAAAAGCTGTGACTGAGACAAGTGCGCAGTATGGGAAGGAGGCATGGACAAAGTGGTAAATAATGGACAAGCCACATGTGGACTAAAATAAGTGTCGGATTCTGACTTGAGGCCTGCCACCAGATGCAGCTGTACAATTGAAGTACATCAACTCCCTTGCCACAATAAAGCCTGTTGCCAAATGGAGCTTAATTGCCACTTGCCACTAACTGATAGGGTTTTGATGTGAGTCTGCAAGCAATTGGTTTCTTGTGGTCTCTGTGCAGTTAAAATTCTCTGCTAATGATAATCTGTACTTGGAGCTGCTCCCCAGCGCTAGCGTCACCGCCTTAGCTCCACCTCAGATCATCAGGCATTAGATTCTCATAAGGAGCGCATAGCCTAGATTCCCTCACATGAGCAGTTCGCTGTAGGGTTCGTGCTCCTATGAGAATCTAATGCCACCGGTGCTCTGACAGGAGGCGGAGCTCAGATGGTAATACAAGGAATGGGGAGTGGCTGTAAATACAGATGAAGCTTCTCTTGCCCATCATTCACCTCCTGCTGTGTGACCCAGTTCCTGACAGCAGTGGTTGGGGACCCCTGCTATAAGACATACTGGTTGGGATTATGTTTTGATAAGAGAGCCATTTGGAATTAATGAGTATAATAGGATATTTGTGAAATTAGGTATTTTTTTAATTATCAGGTGTCAGTATTGTGTTTTATGTACTAGTTAATATTCTTGGCATCTCCTGAGTACCACGTTAAAATGGTCTTGGGAACTTTGGTGTTTATTTATGACATGGTTTTTCATTATTGATGTTTGAGTAATGCTAAGTCATATGCATATACTCTCCGATCAGAGTGGGAAAAGTTTTATAAACTGTGATTCACTATATTTAATTTAGTCTCCTACCAAAATATTGGTCCCACCCACTGATAGTGAGAGATAGTAACCTTTTATCTGTGGATTGCTCAATAACTAGGTCATGTATCCACATTTTTTTGTATTCCCATCATGACGTTATCACACACTTCTACTATTACATGTCTGGATATACAGAACTCCCAAATTGCATTATATTAGCCAACATTTTGCTAGTAATTTTTTAAGTAACTATTTCACTTTTAGGTTCTGTATCAGTTAAACTAAGCCAAATTATTACAGTCATTGTTGTCCCCCCCCCCCCCCATTACAGTGTTGCTTTGCACAGTTTTAGTTACCCATGGTCAACCACAGTCTGAAAATATTCTTTGGAAAATTTTAGAAATAAACAGTTTGGTACACAATTCATAAGTTTTAAATTGCTCACCATTCTAAGTACCATGATGAAATCTCATGCTGTCCTGCTCCATCCTGCCTGGGATGTGAATCATTTCTTGTTTAGCAGATCCATGCTGTATACACTCTTTACCTGTTAGTCACTTAGTAGCCATCTTGGTTATCAGATTGACTATTGCACTATCTCAGTGCTGTGTTCAAGTAACAATTATTTTACTTAATAATGGCCCCAAAGCACTAGAGTAGTGATGCTGTCAATTTGGTAATGCCAGAGAAAAACCATAAAGTGCTTCTTTTAAGTGAAAAGGTTAAAGTTCTTGACTTAGTAAGGAAAGGAAGAAAAAATGGATGCTGAGGTTGCTAAGATCAGTGGTAAGATTGAATCTTCTATCAGTGAAATTGCGAAGAAGGAAGAAAACATGCTGGTTTTGCTATTGCACTTAAAACTGCAGATTTCTGGTGACAATGCATTGTAAGTGCTTAGCTAACATGAAAAAGGCATTAAATTTGTGGGCGGAAGGCGTGAACAGAAAATGTTCAATCAATAGAAGTGTGTTGCACCAGAAAACATTGAGCTTATACCAAGACTTTAGCAAGAGATCCCTAAAACAAGTCACCACATTCATGTAGTTTTTACTGCAGTATGTTGTTATAATATTTTATTATTATTGCTGTTAATCTTTTACTGTGTCTTAATTTATAAATTAAACAATCATAGGTATGTATGTGTAGGAAAAATGTAGCATATGTAAGTTTCAGTACTATTTGTAGTTTCAAGCATCTCCTAGAGGTCTTGGAATCCCTGCAGAATGGGGGGATTACTATTTTTGATGTATGTACATACAGTATAGGAACAGTGATTTGTCGTAGTTGTAATTTCTCATTTTCACATTTAGGCCACTTAAACTAATACTTCTGTATACATCTTTGAAGATGACATATAATTTTTAAATACTGTACTTTATCTTTGATAAAAGTTTGTGATTCTGTAAAGGTATGATTTCACTGGAAAATAATGTTAGTTATAAGCTGTTTGTTTTTATTGAAGAATTTAAAAATAACTACAGATTGGAAAGAACCCAGATGTCTATCAGTAGAGGAATGGTAAAATAAGTTATACCTGGTATATTCATTACCATGGAATATCATCCAGCCAAGGATTTTTAGTTATTGAAGAAAATGCATATATTATAACATTAAGTGAAAAGACAGGATACAGGCCTACTTACGCAATATGATTTCAGCTATGTCAAAAAGATTTTTTTATCTCTCACAGAAAAGAGACAGCTTGTCTTTATAGTGATTATGTTTAGGTCGTAAGATTATGTATAATTTAAATTTGTTATTCTTTTTTGTTTTTCCTAAATTTTCTACAAAGATGTATTACTTTTATGATCAGAAAAGGTTGTTTTGTTTTTAACAGTGTTTACCATGTTACAGGGATAAACTATTTGAAGCTCTTATTTAATTTCCCAGGGTTATTAATGTACTGTCCAGCATTCTTATATTTATTTCTTAAAAGCAAAGGATAGTCTATATAACACTTTAGTGTGAAGTAAATTTATTTTAAAAAAGAAATTAAAACTTAAAATTTTAACCAGAACATTTTAATAATATTTTTAATGTAAATAGAGGAAAAATATTAAAAGTTGAGGGCTTGAAAATTTTGTATTTGAGTAATTATTAATGACTTAAGAATTCATATTGTTTTTAATTGTATTTTTTGAAATTTTTTTTTCTGGTAAAATACTCCTCACATTAAATTTATCATCTTACCCATTTTAATTGACCGGTTTAGTGGCATTCACATTGTTGTGCTGTTACTATCACCATCCATTTATAAAACTTTTTTCATCTCAAAAAACTGAAACTCTTTATCTATTAAAACAATAACTCCCCTTTCCCTCCTTATCTCCTGGCAACCACTGTTTACTTTCTGCCTCTGTGAGTTTTACTACTCTAGGTGCCTCATATAAGTATAATTACGCAGTATTTGTCCTTTTATGATTGGTTTATTTCATTTAGCTTCATGTTCTCAATGTTCATTTATTTTATGGCATGTGTCAGAATTTCATTCCTTTTTAAGACTGAATATTCCATTATATGTATATACCACATTTTGTTCATTTCTTCTTCCATCAATGGACACTTCCACCTTTTGCTATTGTGAATAATGCTTCCATGAATGTGAGAGTACAGATATCTCGTAGCTCCTTTCAGTTCTTTTGAGTATATATTCAGAAGTGGAATTGTTGGATCATATGGTAATTCTGTGCACAAGAGTTCTACTTCCTCCACATCCTCTCCAACATTCATTATTTTTTCTTTTTTTGGTAGTATCCATCATAGTGGGTGCAAAGTTGGACCTCCTTTTGGTTTTGATTTTCATTTTTCTAACGATTAGTGATGTTGATCTTTTTATGTACTTATTGGCTATTTTTGTATATCTTCTATGGAGAAATATCTTCTTTGCCCATTTTTTAATCAGGTGTTGCTTTCGAATTATAGGAACTCTTTATGTATTCTGGCTGTTAACTCTTTATCAGATATATGATTTGCAAATATTTTCTCCCACTCTCTGGGTTGCTTTTTGTACTGTGTTGGTTGTGCCCTTTAGTGCACAGAAGTTTTTAATTTTGATGGAGTTTATTTATTTTTTTTGTTGTTGGTGCCTGTGCCTTTGGTATTATATCCAAGAAATCATCACCAAATTCAGTGTTGTGAAGCTTTCCCCCTATGTTTTCTTGTAAAAGTCCATTGTTTTAGGTCTTATTTTAAATCTTTTATCTATATTGATTTAATTTTTGTATGCAATATAAAAAAAGGGCTCTACTTTGTTTTTTGGCATGTGGGTATCAAGTTTTCTAAACACCCATTTTTTAAAAATCTTTACCTGAGGATATGCTTATTGATTTTACAGAGAGGAGAAGGGAGGGAGAGAAAGGGAGAGAAACATTGATGTGAGAGAGAAACATCAATTGTTTGCCTCCCACAAACACCCCGAGAGGAACTGAACCCGCAATCTAGGCATGTGCCCTCGCCAGAAATTGAACCTGTGACCCTTTGGTTTATGGGATGATGCTCTAACCAACTGAGGCACACTGACCAGGGCACACCATTTGTTGAAGACTGTCTTTTCCCCACTGAATGGTCTTAGTACCTTTGTCAAAAATCATTTGATTATGTCTGTGAGCGTTTATTTCTGGGTTCTCTATTCTGTCTCATTGATCTCTTGTTTGTATTTATGCCAGTACTACACTGTTTTGATAACAGTATCTTTTAGTAACTTTTGACATCAGACTTCCAACTATGAGACCTCCAACTTTGTTAGTCTTTACTTTTAATTGTATTTTGAATTTTTATTAAAATTCTTATTTGTTGTCTATACCCCATAGCTTAGGCTGATTTGTATAGTTGGGAAGGGAAAGACCATGTTGACCATCATAGTCTTTTTACTAAAAGAAAAAGTTAAAGAAAATCAACAAGATGGAGAGACAAGGAAGAAGAAAGGCAAAACAAAGGTCGGGAAATAAGCCCATTAAATATTAAGACAGTAGTGGAGATTAAAATCACCAGTGGTGAGGTGTAGCAAGGAGCAGGTTTGTGACAATAGAGGTTACTGATCAAGACAAAGGGAAAAAAAGGCAGGGTCCATAGGCATTTTGGTATTGTAGCCCTTGAAGGCACAGAATCTTTGCTATATACAGTATGGGCTATTGTATCTTTCAGAGTGTTCTTAGTTCCAAATAATGGAAAAATATAAGCCAAAGTGTCTTAAACAATTAAGGGGATTCATTAGTTTATATAACTGAAAAATATTTATAGGTAAGTCAGCTTTTAGTGTTTTATAGAGAAGTTGATGATACTATCTATCCTAGGTTTTCTCTCTACGTTTCTCTCAGTTTGTCTTCTATGTATCTTCTTTAGCTTTAAGCTCAGGCCATAGTGGTTCCATGTGCTGATTGCACTAGTTTAGACCCTTATCTTGTCTTTGAAGACCTGAAGTTGGGAGTCTGCTTCCCTAGAACGATGTAGATCTTGAAAAACAAATCAAGAGTTTTGAGAAAGGGGGCAACAAATTATGAAAATGCAACCATGAATGTTACAGTTGGCAGGTAACCCCTTATTTTCTAATAGTTGATAGAGACTTAATTTACATAAAATTACTTAGTTCATCTAGCTTTCAGTATTTATTAAGAACCTTCTATGTGCTCAGCACTATTCTAGTATCTCAGAGCTAACATTGTAGTGGAGACCTAGAATTAAAAAGTTAAAAAGATAATGAAAACTTATTTTTTAAAAACTGGGTAATGGGATAAAGTTGCTGGGACAAGAGTCAGAGAAGGCCTCTTTGAGGAGGTAACTTTGTGCAAGAACCTGAGTGATTAGAGGAAACACTTACGCAGAGATCAAGGTGAAGAGCATTCCAAACAGAGGAAACAGCAAAGGCACTGAGATGGGAACAATAAAATTTAGAATAGAGAGAAAATCAGAATATCTAAAGAGTAGTGAATGAGTGAGAAAAGGCATGAGATGAGGAGAGAGAGATGGCTATCTCTCCATGGGTAGGCATGGTAAGGAATATAGATTTTTTTTTTTCTTTTAAGCAGCACATCAGTGAGTATGATTCTCTGACAGGCAAGTTATTATTTAGTATAACCTATCTAAGAGGTTAGAGGAATCTGCAGTATATTTATAGAGATATCTATTTACAAAATCAATTAAAATACAGACATCTATTCCTAAGCTTTAGGGAACCTATCTCTCTTGAGCTTTTTCACAAGTCACAGTTTATTGAAAGAGTGGCCAAAATTCTTACATGTATGACCTTAACACATTTATAATTTGTTCAAAAGTACACATACAGAATTCACTTTGGGGAACTTTAAGTGCAAGGTATTTTAAATCCTTTAAAAATATTTCTTCTTTTCTTATAGGCAACGTTAAATATTATTCACAGTGTTGTTCTCTCAGTTCTTGACAAAAACCAAAGAACTAGAGAATTGGAGGAGATTTCACAACAGAAGAATGCTGCAAGAGATAACTCACTGGACACAGAGGTGGCTTATTTAATCCATGAAGGCATATTTATAAGTGATGCATTCAGTGAGAGTGAATTAACACCGATAGCAACTGACACTACCTCTCAAAGAAATGCATCTCCAAATAGTGAGCCCTGCAGCAGTGATTCGGTATCTGAACCGGAATGTACTACTGATTCTTCATCCAGCAAAGAGCAGACGTCGTCATCTGCTGCGCCAGGAGGTGTGGACATTATGTGAGTATGGTAACTACTGCCATCTTAACAAGATTTTGAGTCATTAATGGTTTCAGTTAGATTGATTGTTCAGTATATTGGAAAACCATGTAAACTTTGGTTTTGGAATTTATAAGAAAAGTGAATTAATTTTATGAAACGTGTCTTTTTGAAAAATGTATGAAAGGTAGTAAGGAGGTAAGCTTTGGAAATAATTGAGAACTGCAGAATTTTATGGTTAGAAAGGAACCATTTAATTAAATGCCCTCATTTCAAAGAGTTTAGATAACTTAAAATCACTAGAGGCAGAATTTGTCCTGAAACAAGATCAATATTACTTTGCTTATTTTTCTTCTACTGTGTCACTTTTCTACCTTGTGAAGATGTTTGACTTACAATTTTTGATTTTTAAAGAAATGAATTTCCAAGTGGATCACACTGTCTTTTTAAACATTACTTTTTAAAACTTATTTTGAAATTTCAGATTTACAGAAAAATTGCTAGAATAATACAAAACACTGCATATATCCTTTGCCTTGATTCTGCAGTTTTTTAGTTTACCACATTGCCCTCTTTCTTTTGCCCTTCCTTTTTCTCTCTTCCTCTACCTTCGTTTTTCTTTGTATCTCATGTTAATATTTTTTCTGAATCATTGGACAGTAGGTTACAGACTTGATGTCCCATTATCTCCAAATACTTCAGTGTGTATTTCTTAAATACGGTAACACTACCTTAAATAACCACAGTATACCTATGAAAATCAAGGAAACATTGATAGATTATTCCCATCTAATTCACAAACCCCAATGGTCCTGATATTCTGTATAGAAAGAATGAAAACAAAACAGAGCCAATAAAGTCTTTCTGGTCAAACAATATAGTTGGATTTAATTATCTTAAGAGTAGTAAGAACTCAGCACTTCTGTTCATTTTAACATAAGTCGATTTATGTCCCAGGAGCTTGTATAGATTGCACTAACAGCATAAAGTCAGCTATAATACCTCCCTTCCCCACCAAAAAGATAAGTAAAAACAGAAAACAAAAAACACCTCTGAACTACATATCAAAACATTTTTCTTCTGTTCAGGCTAATATTTTCTCATTTACTGGTTAGGGTACAGTCTAAAACTGCTATTAAAAGATGCAAAAACCTGTATAGCTTAAACAATATAGAATTATGGTTCTCTCATGTAACAGTTCAGAGTTAGGCAGTCCAGAGCTGAGAAGGCAGTTCTTCCATCCTCATTGTGTAGCTTCTAATCTTTGTCTAAGGAGTCTGCTCTAGTTTTTATCATCTCGTCTGCATCTCTAGCAGCAAGAAGGAGAGGGCAAAGGTTTAGTACCCTCTTTACTTTTTTTCTTTTTTTTGCTTTTTAATTGGAGTATAATGCATATATAGGGCAGTGCATCAAGTGCAAGTGTTCAGCTCGTAACAAAGTGAATACACTGGTGTAATGGCCACCCAGGTTAAAAATAGAATGTTATCAACTCACTAGAAGCCCCTCTTGCCACTATGCCTTGACTTCTCCAATTCCTAGACTTTTATTGGTTTTCTGGTTTTTAAACTTTATAGAAATGGAACCATGTTCTTTTGTCTCCGATTTCATTTATTGAATATTATGTTCGTGATACTATTTTTCTAAGTTCCTGCATGTAGCAATAGTTTATTTATTTGTATACAAAGATTCCACTTTCTGACTACACTACAATGTATTTATTCTTTCCTAGTGATGAAATTCAAGTTATTTCAGTTTTGATTCTTGTAAACATTCTTGTAGATATATTTTTGTTGCACAGGTTGTAAGCATTTTTGTTTATATATTTCTGAATGTATACCTAGGAATGAATAAGGTATGTGAATGGTCATTTTAACCAGTTTCCTAAAGTGGTACTCATTTACAACCCCATCAGTAGCGTGGAAGAGTTCCTGTCACTAATCTTCATTCATTCTTGGTATTGTCAGTTTTTTCATGTAAGTCATTCTGGTAGGTATGTCACAGGTGTAGTCGTTTTGACCTTTATTTCCCAGATGATTGGTAAGAGAGACTTTTCATATATTCATTAGTTTGGATAGCCTCTTCTGTGCAGTGTCTATTCAAATCCTTTGCTCATTTCTCTATTGGTATGTTCTTTATTTCTTACTGATTTATTGGAGTTCTTTATGTAATCTCAACACAAGCCCTTTGGCATTTGTGTATATTGTAAGTATCTTTTCTCACTCTGTAGGTTGACTTTTCATTCTCTTATTGGGCTCTTTGGTGAAAAAAGTTTTTAATTTTAATATAATTCTGATTCTTTTTCTTTATGATTTGTGCTTTTGTGTGTGTGTGTCCTATTTAAGAACTCTTTTCTACCCTAAGGCCTTGATGATATTTCTTTATGTTATATTCTAGAAGCTTCAGTGCATTCCCTTTCATATGTAGATCAGTAGTCCATCTAGAATTGATTTTTGTGTGTAGCATGGATATCTTTCTGACCTCATGCCATTTGTTGAGAAGACTGTCTTACTCATTGCTCTATAGTGCCATTCTTGCCTTAAATCATATGTGTGAGTCTGTTTCTAGACTCTGTTGTCTTCATTTGTCTGTCTTTGCACCAGTAAAGTAAAATTGTCTTTGTTACAGTAGCTTTATAATTAGCCTTAATATCTGGTAATTTCTCCTCTTTCATTTTTCTTCCAAGATTGTGTGGATTATTCTTGGTCTCTTGCAAATTCATTTAGATTTTAGATTTGTTAATTCTCTGTTGCCTGCACATATATTTGTTTATATATATATTTTTTCTTTTTAAGAACACAATCCAGAATTTGAATTATTATTTCCACTCATATCATAGTGGCCAGAATATATCACATGACTATATCTAGCTATAAAGGAGGCTTGAAGAATAAAGTCTTTAGCTTGTTGGCTATTTATCAGCTAAAACTATTATTGTGGCAGAAGAAAGATAAGAGATTGAAAGATAGCAAGCCATCAGTCATGCTATTTGAGATTCCTTTAAATCAGGTGCAGCATCATAGTTTATACCTCTCTTCTGCCTTCTCCATTGTGGCTGACTTTGAAGCTTCTGTGGCTTTCCCCAATTGCATGCTCCCATGGCATGATAACATAGGTTATTCAGATGGTTTCTCCTATGTTCCATAGACACATAAATGTCTGCGAACTATATAGTCCACAGAGGCAATGGATTAATTGAGCATATTTATATCTGTGACCCTAATTACTTGTTTCTTACAAGGGCTCTAGCTATTCCTGTATCTAGTTTTTTTGCAATATATAATTGTGTCATGGATACAGCACATGCAAAAATGTTGTATCACTTTTTCTTTGTTAGTGGTAGATTTTCCTTATTTTCTTACATTGTCAAAATGACCTACAATTTTGTAAGTTTAGTGCAATGCAGATATGGACATAAAAGAATAAATAATTTCCCAGGCAGGGAATGAGAAAAGAAAAATAATGGAAAAGACTAGAAAATTCTGTGGGTTTTTTAAAAAAACAAGAATTATTTTAAATTGTGGTTAGGAAAAAAACCGTAAAATTTACCATCTTAACCATTTCGAAGTGTACAACCTGATAGTATATTCATGTTGTGCAACCTATCTCTAGAACTTTTTCATCTCGAAAAAGTGAAACTCTATGCCTAACAAGTCCCTATTTCTTCTTCCACCCACCCCCTGGCAACCACTTTTCTACTTTCTGTCTCCATGAGTTGGACTACTCCAGGTACTTCATATAAGTAGACTCATAGAGTATTTGCCCTCTTGTATCTGGCTTACTTCCACAGCAAAATGTCTTTATTATATCTTTAACCATGTTGTAACATATGTCAGAATTTTTTTTTTCATTTTAAGGCTGAATAATATTCCAGTGTGTGTATGGACAACATTTTGTTTGTTTATTCATATGTCAGTAGTCTCTTGGATTGCTCCCATCTCTTGGCTGTTGCGAATGGTGCTAATACTTGAATATGGGTGTGCAAACTCATTGATATCTTACTTTCACTTCTTTGTTATATATACTCAGAAACACATTTGGTCTTTTTTTTTCCTATTATGAAAAAGATCCAATTAGACTTAAAAATCTTTTTAAAAAGCAAAATTATAAATGATTTCTTTTAAAAAAACAAACCTCAACTTTTTAAATTGTCACCATGTTTTTTAAGCACTTGAATTGTTTCTATTTGCTTTTTTTTTAAAAAATATCTTTGTGAATTGGTAGCATATTGCAAAGAGTTCCAAATTCTTAATCATTATCCAGTTATATGGGGACAAATTTTAGGAGTCCTTCAGAAAATAAAATTTTATCTTTTAAATCTTTTTTTAAAAGATTTTATTTATTTACTCTTAGAAGAGAGGGGAAAGGAGGGAGAATGTGAGGGAGAGAAACACCATTGTGCAAGAGATACAAGATTGGTTGCCTTTCCCATGCCTCCAGCTGGGGACTTGGCCTGCAAACCCAAGCATGTTTGGGAGTTGAACTGGCAAGCTTTCCATCCACAGGCTGGTGCTAAATCCACCGAGCCACACCAGCCAGGACAAAAAATACAATTTTATTTTAATAGTAAATTCGAACTTTGAAATTTAAGCAAACAGTTTGTAGGAGCTGGTATTGACATAGCACTGGATCATCTATATAGGAGTAAATGTTGGAGTAGAGGAAGCTTAGCAGGTTAGAAATAAAATTAGACTAAATCTGAATTCTAGTCTTACTCTCTCATCTTGTGACTTTGGATTGGTCACTTAAATTTTCAAAGATTCAGTGTCCTCATCTATAGAGTAGGTATTTATATACACAGAATGTGTATATCTCACAGAATGTGAGAACCAAACAAGTTACTTTTTCTGAGAGTGCTTTAAGTATATTAATCCCTCTATTATTTTAAAGTACTAATACATAAATTTAGTGATATTATAATTTTGAATGATAGCAGGAAATAACTTTTTAATACCTTACTTAACCCAGTTAGAGTAATGGTTTGCCTCAAATTAATATACAGGAGAGCCTCTTTATAATATCTTTGAAAATTATTTTAATTCAATTGAAAGAAAGAAAATGATGCTAAGGCACTTAACTTGGTTTATGGGAAACTGAATTGTTGGCATGGAATCAGTGATCTTTATATATGCCCAGTGAAAAATGTATAATAAAGTCTTATATTTCCTTTTTAAAACTGGAAGAAAATGCATTACATCTTATAAATACTTCTGTTCAATTTTAAGCCTTGAGGGCAGTAACCCATGATATCGCCTTCAGTGTCAGACATTTAAATACAGTAAGTGCTCAGGAGATGTTAGTTCAGTTAAACTGAATGCTAATGATCATTCATAATTGTAAGTAAACAGAGGGCCTGTTTGCCATGAAATAGCATTCCTTCCTTTTTTCCTCCTTCCACTGTGTCATCCTAGACACCTGTGCACAACCTACTATAGCTACCACCTTGTACCTAAGTAGAATTTTTTTTTTTGCTGTAGTTTTTTCAAAATTTCCAACCAAATTCTGAAAGTAACTATTAAAATTACTATAGTAGAAAGAGGAAATTATTCTTATATAAGACTAGGGTAAAATATATTTGTATTATCTTGACACGTTTAAGTGATGCCTTACCACAAATACAAATATTTGATACATCACAGAATTTTTCCTCAAACCTGAGTTTTACAGCATTTTGTTTTTTATTGATATGTCACATATGTAGAACAATTTGTTCATAACTTTCCCTAACTTAATCTATTTTAATTATTTTCAGGGTGAATGAAGACATGAAATTAACTGACTTAGAACTAGGAAAGCTGGCAAATAATACACAGGAGTTATTGTATAGTGCCTCAGATATATGCCATGATCGAGCTGTCAAATTTCTCATGTCAAGAGCAAAGGTTAGTTGTTTTAATAAAGCGTTAGATATTTTATATATAGTGTAATTATTTTGAAAATCTGGAATCATATCCCTGCTTATGTCCCTGTGTTCCCCATAATGCATATTATATTTATGACACTTAATGAAGTACTGGTGTGGTCTATTAGGAAGATGTTAAAATAAACCAAGTAAGAGAAACAAGAAAACTTACTCAAGCATTCTTTTCAAATAAATGATTTAATAAAAGACATTTTGAAATATACATTAATAATTAATTTGAAATTAATAATGCTGTTTTATATAGTGTGTATAACTGGTGAACTCCAATGTTGTGAGGTTTTTATACAATGACCTGAATTTATTTGAGCTAATGTATTTTAAATGGTCAGAATGAAATTTAGACATCTTAAGCTTTCTATGTGCAATTTCTGAGACTAAAGTAATGGAAGATTTCATTAAAATGATTTTAAAATAATTTTTATGAAGTAATAGAATTATATTACATATCATAAAAATAATATAAATATTAACATTTGTTAGAGTGGTTGGTTTTATAACACATCCATATTTGGTGTTATACTAACTCTCATGATTTTTGTGTTATCTTTAAAATTTAGGATGGTTTTCTCGAGAAGCTAAATTCTACGGAATTCATAACACTTTCTAGATTAATGGAAACATTCATTTCAGACACTGAACAGATATGTGGAAGAAAAAGCATGTCATTACTTGGAGCACTTCAGAGTCAAGCTAGTAAATTTGTAAACAGGTTTCATGAAGAGAGAAAAACCAAGCTCAGGTATCATAACTGTATCCATTCTGTTCTTAATTTTTTTTCCATTTCTTGCAAAACACAATTATATTTAAAAGAAGAAGCTTAATTGATTGGCCAACTATAACTCCTGACAAATTCTTTTCTTTTTAATTAAAGGCAAATTTGAAGTTAAAATCTTATTTCTTGGTTTTTCAATGTGAAATTAGAATGTTTATTTCCATTAAAGCATTTATCAGGGAGATCATTAATAAAAAGCCTTTCTTTCCCACTCAAAGTGAAGTTAATTATGTTTCATCACTTTTCTTGGTTAGGCTAAGAGGTATAAAAAAGAGAAATACTTTTTGAAAATATCCATACTGTTTATGAATGATTTCTATTTATTAAGGTGTTCAGCATTTTTAAGTCTTATGTACTAACAATAGCTAATGGACATCATAGTCTAAAACTCAGTGCCTTGTATTGCATGAGCTCCAGTTGAATTTAATGTGTTTGTAGTTTTTATTATTATTAAAAGACCTAAAAGTCTTACATACTTTCTTAGGTCTTTTTAAACAAGGAAAATGGCATTGGCATATTATTGACGTTTATCTTTCTTTTTTCCTTTTTTTAAATAGCCTACTCTTAGACAATGAGCGCTGGAAGCAAGCTGATGTTCCAGCAGAATTTCAGGATCTTGTTGATTCTTTATCAGATGGAAAGATTGCTTTACCTGAAAAAAAATCAGGGGGTATGTGTATTTTTTCACACACTCTCTTCCAATTTTATATTGTCTGTCCATTTTGTAGAAATGCTTACTATTTTTTTAATTAACAGTGCCTCCTTAAAAGCCTAGAACTAACACTCCCCGCTTAGTAAGAAAGTAGTTGACTGTAAAAGTATCTGAAGTAATTTATAATAATTTCAGATATTTGTTGATGGTTAATTGTATTCCAGACACTGGACCAGCTGCTTTTTAAAACTCCAGTTTATTCTCTCAACAATTTGTTATAAAGATACTGTTGTTAAATTAACAGTGAGGAAGCAAGGAAGCATGAAGCTTTTAAGGGTTAAGGAATTTTGGATAAATGTGATAAGCTGGGATTTGAAACCAGCTTTCTATAATTTCATAGCTATATTCTTAACCGCTGTACCATATTGTTTAGAGACATGTAACCATTCAGCACTCGTAAGCTTTTTGTCAGATATTGAAACAGGCATAGCAGTTATCATTCTTTAAAAGGGTTAAGTCCAATGAAAAAGTATGCATTAACAATCACATTGGGCACAATATATTAGCAATTAATGTAGTATCATATGATAGAGAAAACCACAATGTAAAGTACCATAGAAAAAGAAAACTATGGAGACTTTAGAAAGAAGGACCAGAGAGGTAGGAAGAAAACCAGAAGAACTTAGAAGTCAAAAAATCAGAGTTTCAAGAAGAGAATTGTCATTGGTATCAAATTATCAGTTGAAAGATGAAAATGGTTAAAGTGAAGTTGTCATGTGATAATAATGTAAATTTATGTACAACTTATCCTGTAATACCAGATTTGAAGCTATGAAGTCCTTGAATATTTTTAATGGAGGAGGCATTTGCATTTTCACATTTTATGCATTTAATAAAAGTTTAATATTTTTACATAGAAATATTTTTAAATTGTATACTTCACATTTGCACAAAATATAATTGCACTGCAATAGAAAAACTGAGTAAAATACAGATAGAGACCACTAGTTTGACATGTAGCTCATTTGTTATCTTAGTAATTGAGTAGAGTGATAGAGTCAGATTGTAGGTCAGTGCTAAATAACTTAGAACATGAGGAAGGGTAGATATGTATAGCCTACTTTTTCAACAAGGTTGGCTGTGAAAAGAAAGTGAGTGAGGTGACAGCTAGAGACATAAGAGAAATTAAAGATTGTTACCTTAATCCACACAGGGAATTGAGAGAACAGTTTTAAGGTAGAAGAAACTGAGTTATGTTTTTATGCTTGACAGAAAGAGAAGGTTAATTTAGCGTAAGAATGACATAGTGATTGTGGAGCAGCTACCCTGATGTTGAATCTAGAGTTCAGAAGAAAGGAAGTTGTCTCTTCTACCACTGTGACAAGAGACAAGGGGTTAAAGACAGGTGTAAAATAGGTTAATTCATATAGAGCAGAGAGAGGAATGAAAGGAATTAAGTAAATTTATGTTTTCTAGTGCCCATTGTTAGTAGATAACAGTGTTGGGTGGTAGTCACAATTTTTAAATTGTTTTTATGATACTAGCAAAGCAAAAGCATTCAAGTAGTAAAAACTGGAAGAAAAATAATACACTGATCATTCTAAATCACAAGCATAGAATAAGATTTATCACTCATCTGCTACTCTTTTAAGCTATATTTGATTGACTTTCTACTGTGCAAAGTGTTCTACTGGTTGACTAAGACATGTTTTCTGTCCCCGAACAGCTCAGTCTTGCAATTCACTGTCATGCAAACATAATGAATTTTTAATTAAAATGATATAGCGTGATTGAATTAACTATGTATTTTTCTTGTAAGGTAAACTATTTATTTTCATTTCCTGTTTGAAGGATACTAACAGAAGTTTCTCAATACACCCTACTTCTGTTCCAGTCTTTTTTTCTTTCCTCTGAGAGAGAAGAAAGTATATACTATTAGAAGTCCATTAACATTTTACTAGTTCTTACCGAGTTAAGGGTCCTTGGTTCTTATTTATCCACCATTTATTAAGTTACTTGCTAGTTCACTAAGCATGAGGGAAATGAAATTTAATGGATAACAGTTAATATTGATGCTAGATAGTTTGCTCTAAGCATTTTACATTGTTATCTCATTTATAGGTCCACGAGGTAGTCACTGTTAGTATTGCCAATTAACAAATATGAGAGTGGAGGCACAAAGAAGTTAAGCAACTTGCCTAATGTTACATGACTAGGAAGTAGTAGAGCTGAGATCCACATTAAGGCAGACTGACCTAAGGCTGACTCTAGGGCCCTTTCTCTTAACTGCTGCTATGCCACTTCTCTGCAGTGTAGAGAATTGGTTAAGAAGCATTCCCTATCCTTGAAAAATTTAATCTGACATACAGAGTGAATTGTGATTAGAAATTATATCATACTGAATTTTTATACTTTAAAGAAATGAGGAAGTAAATATTTAATGTATTGACATAGGGATGTCCAAACCTGTAGAGAATTTTTATAAGAGTTTATTTGAGCCAAACTGATGGCATGCAGGAAGCAAGATCTCAAATGCTTCAGCAAATGAGTTTTATGGTTCTTTCTGTACATTTGGAATTAAGGAGGGAATGTAAGGAAAATTACATGTAGGTGGGAGAAAGCAATGTATGGAACAGTTAAGATTATATGCTCTCTTGAAGGTGGTTATACTTCTAAGGGGTCTGAAAAAACAGGCATTTCAAAGGTCTGTTAACCTAGATGCGCAAGAACAAGGGACAGGTTTTGCTTAACGAGAAGATAACTTTTTACTAGGAAAGTTAGAGGGATGAGGCATGACTACCTACCATGGCCTGCCCAGTTTGGATTTTATGATCAGATAACTCTGTGAGGTTACTTTCTGTCACTGAACTTAATCATAGCCCCTTTTTTATTTACAAATGTCTTTGAGCTCAAAGGGGGTTTGAAGTTTAGGAAAGCATGATGACTCATCCATGGTAATCTAATTAATTTGGCTGATTCAGGACAAAAATTCAGTCTACCTTTCTTTTCACTTCAATATGATGAATTTTGTTTTATGATGATAAAAAATACCATATTCTGAAAAGAAAGTAACTTCTGGATTAAAATCTTAAAAATTAAATATATTCTCTCTCTCTGTTGAATATAGGAATTAACTTGCATTTTCAGAATTATAATAAAGAAAAGACAACCACTAGAAATATTCTGCCTTTTAAAACTAACTTTTTTTTTTTTTTTTTTTTTTGCTGTACTACTTACTAATCATTTATCATCTGCCAGACCTACAGGATAGACAGTTTGTAATTTTTATCTCTATCATTAACAATAAGCCCAAAAGATAGATGTAGTTATCCATGTTTAATTGATATATATATAGAAACTCAAATAAGTTGAGTCCAAGGTCATGCATGCAGTAATTGGCAGGATTGGAACTTAAATGCAAATCTCTCTGATTTCAAACTCAATATACTTTACTCTGTGCCAAATTGCTTCCTAAGAAGTAGATATTTATTTTCAGAAATGAGACAGTTTCAGGCTGTAAATAGAAACTATCTTATTCCATTTTTTTGTAGTTTAAATTATTCGTTCATATTTTGTTTCATCTTGTACTTATGTCTTTCCTGTTTATTTGCTTTATTCCCTAGCTACAGAAGAAAGGAAACCAGCTGAAGTTCTCATTGTTGAGGGACAACAGTATGCTGTTGTTGGGTGAGTGACACATTTTTCTTTATTAGTTGTCAATTATTTAAAACATAGCTCTTCCAGCTCCCCCTTGATGTGAACTGGAAATTTTGGATTAACAGTTTAAAATCCTACAAAGAATTTAAAGGAAAATTTATAGATTCTTAATTTTCTGTATTTTGTAGCCTCTGTCCATTAGTGCGTACACTGGCTTAACAAAAAAGGTTATATAAGATTTTTGTCATTTAACAAAAAAATCTAGTAGTACCTGATCCAAGGGTGGTATAGTGTCCTCATAATGCTATTAGTGTCTCAAACTCTTTTTTTCTGCAGCTTTTTTAGTGTGTAGCATATAGCATAATAGTTGAATCTGTGGCTGCTGGAGTCAGACTGCTTAGGTTTGAATCCCAGGGTCTCTGTTAGACTTTGTGACCTTGGGCAAGTTACCTGGTGTATATCAGTTCCCTTATCTGTAAAACAAAATATAAAAAATAGTACTGTACTACAAATTACTGCAAATTTAAACAGATAACTCATACAAAGCTTTTAGCACAGTTTTAGCACCTAGTAAGCAGTTGATAGTTGTTGGTAGTTATTTCCATTATCATCATTTTCACTAGATCTTATACCAATAACAGTATTTAAATTTAAGTTAACTAAGAAAAATATAAATTCCAGTGTTGTTTGTCTAGTATTATGTGCCTTTTTATTAAATGAGTAACCAAAATAATATCTTTATATTCTTTAACAGCACATCACAGTTTACGTATTTTCCTATATATGATCTCATTTGATCTCTACAACCATTTTATAAAATAGACATTTCAAGGTTAACTGTTTCCTTAACAATTAAGAGAATTGAAGCTTAGATGGTTAAAGGGTTAATATAAAATGACCCAAATAAAGCCAGGATTAGAATCAAGATCTAGCTCCCAATATCTAGACCAAAAATTTTTTTCACTCTTCTTTGTTTCTTGTCACTGTATAAGTCTTTTCTGAAATAGCCACTCCTTCCAGGAAGAATGGATGATTTTCTCCATGTAACTATACACACCTCTATTATGGTACTTCTCACAGTATATTAGAATTATTTATTTATGTATATATCTCCCTGGTTGGACTCTGAGTTCCTTAAAGGTGGAACCATTTTTATTGTTTTTTGCACATAGTAAGTACTCAAAAATATGATGCTTTTTCTCAATCTGTTTTATCCACAATTCTGCAGTACCCTGTTGTAAGCTAATTCCTTTCTCCTCTGGAGTTCTTTTCTGTCTTTGGTAGGGCAAAGCCTGTAATCTTATCCCTTCCATCTAATTATGATCTCTCTCTTCAACTACTCTTTATCTGGTTACTCTTCCTGGCTTTTTAGGTAAAAAGCTGAACTCCCTGGCTGAAGGGGGAATATTAAATCTGCTGAGAGAAAACCACAAAAGATAAGCAGTAGACTCCTGTCCAGTAAGAGTAACCATTATGGTCTGATCATTAATCTGTTATAAAGGCTAGACACTATTCTTACCAGACTAAGGGAAAAGAGGGCAGTGCCCCTGACTAAATAGTTGGGTATTGTGTGTTTTAAAAATTCTTGCTGCATATAGTGTGCTGTAGCACATCTGTTGAAAATCACTGGTATGGGAAATGGCACCAAGCCCAGAGTCACAGATAAGTTAGTACTAAAGGACCTGGATCCCCGTGGCTCCAGGGGATGGGTTATAATGGGGGGAAAATCATTAATCATGAGGTGTAAAGGAGCTGGGGTCCTGGGCTCTGCTGATTGGTTGGGGCAAGTGTAGGGAGTATTTGATTGTTACATCACATCCTGATGTCAGCCATGATGTTGTTTTCTCTGGTTTCCTGTATGGTTGTTTTGCTTTCTTGGACCTGGGGCTGAAATACAACTGAAGTCAGGATGTTACCTTTAGCTTTACTAAAAGTCTGTTTCTGTGGTCAGCAGACCTGAAGCCTTGTTCGTAACCCTGTGGAGAGTGAGGTCAAAAAAGTACAACATAGGTTACGTGCATCTAATATTCATTGCTAGTATGTGCTGCAGTGTTCTAAAAAATATTTAAACACTACAGATTTGATTTATTATAGTTATATAACAAAATACATGATTTTTTAATTTTCAGTTATAATCTGGAAATTATTAAGGAAATAAAAACATAAATTGTAAAAATTTTTCTTTTCAAATAATGGAAACATGGATATTGCTAAATAGAACCAAAAAAAGTCTTTAACATTAATTAATCAGAATTTTCAATAGTTGGCTTTGCAAAGCATTTGTAACAGTCATTGCAAACAATATTGCTATGCTCAAAGCGTAAACACTTTTCACAACACTTGCAAAATATTTCAGTGGGCAACTCAAGTAGCATTTGCTGAAGTTCTTCAACATCTTTTGGATTATTGAATCGATACATTTTTTTCCAGCCATTTTCAATAGTAAATGAAGAAAAAAATACAACACTAATTTTGAAGTTCGCCAAAAAGAAAACCAATTAGACCAACACTGACTTCAGAGTTCTCAGTATCTCTCAAATACAGTTTACTATTGAATATCCCACACCCTTACAAAACATGTGTTATAACCAAACTGACGGCTTAAATGTTCATGGCTTAACATTAGTCACATACAAATATGCAGTTAGTCATGACCTTAAACCTATGCATCCAATATATGTAACACTATTTAAGAAAAGAGTTTGCTTGTATCTCTCAGATCAGCCACAACTTCCACAGGGTTAAGGCAGTTTGACCAGAATCTGATGTCCTAAGCGTTTAATGATTAAGGAAATGAGTATACAGCAAAACGTGTCATGTTAAAGAAATGGATTTTCTGCAGGTTACACTATCTTTCTTGAATGACTACTTCCTCATATCCTTCAGACTTTTCTAAAATATTATTTTATATGAATCATGTACTTCTGGGCATCTTGAACTTAGATATCCTTTAATGAATGGCTATTTTTCTCCTTAATTTCAATCTTACTTAACCTCCCAGTATTTCTTTTTTCAACTTCTGATATGTCCTGCTAATAAGCGGTAGACTTTCACATTTTTGAAGAACCTTTTGTGACTGTTAGTGTAAGAAATTTCCAAACCTATAGAGAATTTTTGTAACAGTTTATATAAGCCAAACCAATGACACATGCCAGGGAGTAAGATCTGAAATGCCCCAGAGAATAACAATTTTGTAGCTTTTTTATGCATTTGAAATTGAGGGGAGGGAAGGAAGACTACCTGGAGGTGGGAGAAGGCAAGGTGGGGATGGGATTATAAAATAATTTTAACAAGATTATGTGCTCTCTTGTGGGTGGTTAAGCTTATTTCAAAGGTGTGTTAATTTAGATGAACTAAAACAATGGATGGGACTTCCTTAAGGCAAAGATAAACCTTTTACTAAAAAGTTACATGCTGGGGGCACCTTCACCTGTCCAGTTAGAAATTTATGATCAGATCACCTTGTGAGATTACTTTCCATAGAACCCCCCTTTTTTTTAATCTGTATGATTTACCAATAAACATTTTAGGAGGTACATTGTTCTTAGTTATCACAGTTTCTCTGTGATCTCACTAAGAAAATCTTGACTACATTCCATTCATTAGTTCAGTAGTTGTGATTAAGGACCTACTATATAATCAGAAACACTGTGTAGCCTTTTTGTCCATGTTTCTGAATCTGTTACTGAACAAAACTGGGATTTGGCTGCTTGCTGCCAACCATTGGCAAATTCTGGAGGCAGAGGATGGTAAGGTCTTTTATTCAAAAGTTGCATGATCTGGGAGGATGGCAGCTTCCTGCCTCAAAACCCATCACCTCCAGAAAACCCAGCCATCCCCTGCCAGACCAGCCCAAGGCTGCGCCCAGAATTCCTTCTCCCATTCAAAAGTACCATCCCTTGGCAATCACAGGTGACTGCAGCATGACTATCCAGACGGCTTAGCTTGTTCACAGTTGCAGTCCAGCTTTAAGCTTATTCCTGGGGGCTCCATGTGTGGCCTGCACCACCATTGACCATGTGGCTTCCAGGGCCAGCCAGTCCCACAAAGCACTGGCCAGTATGTATACAAGATGGGTCAAAGAGAGAGACCCTTTGTCCTTTTCTCTTGGTTTATATATTTCAGACCAAGCTTCCATGTGCTCCTGGAATGGTGTCCCTGACTCCCCCCACCAATCCCATCTTTTTCCCAGGCTAGACTGATAAGTCTTTCTCTGGCACAGCACCTTCCCCTGCTGCCATCTTGACCTCTTAAGATACATGCAGCTGCATCCTCTGGTCCCACCCCCATCCAGGGACCAGAAGGGAGTAGGAGAGCATTTCCCTTTGCCAGTCACCCTTGCTAACCTTGCACATGCTCAGTGCAAGGCCTTCCCCTTCTGTGTCTTGCCATGGCACAAGGTGGGGGTAGAATCTGTCATCACACACCCTGCTAGCTTGGTTTACCAGAACAATGTGGTGCTGCCCCTGAGTCTCCTCCCTTCTGCTCCCACAGGCACTCCTTGCACTAGCCAGGCTACTGGTATCAAATTGACCAAAGAATGGAATACCTACTTTATAGAAGAGACATACTTAATAAGGATGCCACACAGAGAGTGATATGCACACAGCATAAAATTTAAAGAGGTACTCATTCTCAGTGTCATGCAAGTGATGAACCTGCAATTATATGGCCCTGAAATTAAGTGCCTCCTTAATTTTGCACCCTCAGCCTAGTGAGTTCTTACTCTGCTGCACTTGTAGGTAAAACACATCATTTAGCAGTTACCAAGATTATTGTTGATTTTTATATGCAAAACCAGTTTGATTTTTCTTATTTTGACTGTCTATTAGATCATCTTTCTTTTCTTATAGAACTGTATTGCTGTTGATAAGAATTATCCTTGAATATTGCCAGTGTGTGGATAATATCCCATCTGTTACTACTGACATGCTTACTCGTCTCTCAGACTTATTGAAGGTGGGTATGATTTTATTCTGTTATGAAAACATAGTTGGAAGAAGTAATTCTTTAGGGTGTGGCTTATCTTCAAACTCTAAGGCATTTCAAGGTTATCTTTAAAACATTTATTTTGTGACATTAAATTATGGTTAAATCACATATATCTGGAAGAAGGCTGTCTGCTTCCTTCTCATGCCACATTTAGTGACTCCTCATTACACCCATAGAGTTGTTAATGACATTGGAGACAGGAGATGATTTGTTCGTTAGGTGCTGAACATGACTGAGGCCACTTAGGTCAAAAAACCTGGACTGGTTTCAAATGTGCATGGAAGGAATTCACTGAACTTTACAAAATTCATCTCACTAAGGTTAGAGATTTTTCTTAAATCATTCTTTCAGAAACATTAATGTAAAATAAAAATGTGGTGATAATTTTATTCAGGCATTTCATATTAAGGTATTTTTAACTGCTAACATAAAGAAAAGTTTTCATTTTTCAAATGTCTAGTCTATCAATTATGTCCCAAAACTGAATTGTCATATTTTAACCCGGAAAGATTTTGTTACCCTTTTGAAAATAGGACTTGTCCAGTAAGAATGACTGAAGAAAATGACTGAAATAGTTCTGTGAATGCAAGTTAAAGCTTAATTTCTGAACAATTGATTGTTAGGATTTCTTAGCTTTTTTTTACTACCAGACAGTACATACTATCATTTAGGAACACCCGTTTCTTCCTTTTTTTTTTCTTTTTTGGTCATTACATGAATAGACCCTATTTGCTCCTACTAGAAGATTTACTTGGTCATTGAATAAGAGGAAAGATGATGCATTTTTTAGATGTTAACACACTGCCAGCATATGAAGAATGTTTTTTAATAAATTGTTGGATTTTTTCCCCCTTCCTTTGTTAGTACTTCAATTCGAGAAGTTGTCAGTTAGTTCTTGGAGCTGGCGCACTGCAAGTTGTTGGATTAAAAACAATAACTACAAAAAACTTGGGTATGGATTCTTTAATTTATATGCTGAGGTGTTATACTTATGTTAGTATATTCCTGATTTTGGTATACCTGATGTTCGTTGCTCTAACCAAAGCCTGTGTTTAAGTGGCAAATGCTACTTCACTCTTTTATGTATCACTATAATTTAAAAATTAAATTCTGGGGAAATGCTATGAGGAATTTCCATTTTAACAAGTATGTTATTTGGAAGTTGCACCACTGCGAAAAATTTTAAGCTGTGTTATGTGTGAAGTACTTTGGGGTGGAAGGTATCTGAATGTCAGAAGAGAACCAGTTGTACCATCAGCTTCCTCATGCCAGCAATACTTATACCTGAGTCTGCCTGGAAAATCAGTACATTCATTATAGTATTGAGTACCAAATGATTTTCTTAAACAAACTGAAATATGTTGTTTTCTGCCACTTTGTTCTTCATTTATAAAATAAACTGGGGTCTGTATATAATTAATGTTTTTTACTTAATTTTATATGTACTTAAAGTCAACTAATATTGTTTTTTATTTCTCCATGATATATCTACCACTTGGGTCTTCAGCTCTTTCTTCACGCTGTTTGCAGTTGATTGTGCACTACATTCCTGTGATCCGGGCTCATTTTGAAGCCCGACTGCAGCCTAAGCAATATAGCATGCTTAGGCATTTTGATCATATCACTAAGGTACTTTTTCATATTTTTTATACTGGAGTTGCATAAATTTAATTCCTGAATCATTAAGTGTTTTTTAGATTTATCCCAGGGACTTTAAAATATAATGCTATTTCTCATTTCAGGACTATCATGACCACATAGCTGAAATATCAGCTAAGCTTGTAGCGATAATGGATAGCTTATTTGACAAGCTGTTATCTAAGGTAATTATTTACAGAAATTATTTGGCTTTGCTTAAAGGCATTGTGACTTTTTCATAGTTGTATAACAAATCAAATTTTTGAGGGTTTAGGAAAAAACTCAATGAAATCTTCAGATTGCTCAAAGAGTTGATATTCATCTCCTAAGGGATTCAGGAGGAGGGAGGGATGATTTCAAAGATGAAAGAAACCTTATATAGAAGCAATTTTATATTAGCTGTATTGACAAATATATACCTCTTCAAAAATAAGTTTTACTCTGAAAGCCTTCCAGAGACAGAATTGAGAACAAAGATCAAAATAGAGAAAAAAGTAAATAAATTGTGGTAAAATATGTTATTAAAAATGCGGAGTCTGAGGTGCTCTATTTTTTCCCTTATAGATAACCAGTTTCAATGTCTGTTTCTTGTTTGCATCTCATTCCCTGTAGGTTATTAAAAGAAACAATGTTTTCCAAAGAATTCTCAATTACACTGGAGGATATCTTCAGAAAAATGTCACTTAATCAGCCCCAGTCACTTTTGTCCTACCTGTCACTCTTTCCTTTTTCTTAAGTTTTTCAACACATATCTTAAGGAGAAAGCAGATATTTTAGAACTTGAAAGTTTGAAAGTTTACTTAGTTTCTACCTTTATCCAAGAGCATGTTTAGAGTAAGTTTATAAAGCAAGTCACTTTGATATGCTTTTCCTCCTACTTGCATCCTTCATAATCTGAGATGGCAGGAGCAACAGGCACATAAAAGTCATACAAGGGCAAGATAAAGTGGTGCCCATTCACATACATGGACATGTGTCTAAACTTTTGTTGGTGACAGTAAAAAATGAGTGCTTGGAAAAAAAGATTGTGTTTATTTAATAGTTCTCAAATGTTTTGGCCACAGAACCGCTTTATACTCTTAAAAATAATTGAGGACCCTAAGTACAAGCTACATTCAAAAGCAGTTCTATTCCACCAGTTTCCTTTTTGAAACATGGCATTCTGTGTACCAAAAGTCAATAAATAATGCATTGTGACGACCCTCAATGTTTACCATATAATATGGCAGGTTACTGTAAACACCTAACAATGTAGAATAAGGTAAACGTTAAATAGTAGAACTAGTAATTAGCTGTGGGATATAATGAAACACCCCCCCCCCCCCCCCGCCAAATTCCAGTATCCCTAAAACCCTGACTTTATTCTGTTGTAACTTAACCAGAAACAAAGGAGGGGAGGTTGGATGCCTGCTGCCACAAAAGCCAAATTCATGAGCCAGTTGCTGGTGCAAAGGAAAGAGGTTTTATTCAGGTGCTACGCAATCTGGGAGAATGGTGGACTCCTGTTGCAAAGCCCATCTCCTCATGAAGGCCAGACAAAGTTCACAGAGTTCAGAGCCAGTGTTCAGAGTTCCTGCTCCAAAGTACAGTCCTTTGGAGTCCGCATTCAGCTGCCACATGGTCATATCCCCATCCAAGTAGCTTAGTTTGTTCCCGGCTGCTTTTCATTTCATGCTTCCTCCTGGAGCCCACGTGTGGAGGCTGCATGACCATGAGCCATGCGGTTGCTGGAGCCACATGATCACATGCTCCCAGGTGAGAGAGCACATGAACTCATGGGTGAGTTTATCATCAGGTGGGCAAGGCAGAGAGAAAGAGAGGCTTCTTCTTGGAATCTATGGGTCATGTGGCCTTAGCAGCCATGTGACCCATTAGAAAGAACAGGCAGTGCACTATGCAAGTGCAGGTCGCAAGCAAGCAAGTCACAAGAGAGCTGGCCACATACCAGAGCAAGCCTCTTTGTTCCCCTGGGATTATATTAGCTTGAGTATGGGATGGGCCAGGTACTTTCTCAAAATGATCAATCAACTTCTCAAACTTGCACATACTTTGGGAGGGTCCACCTCCCAACCAACCCCTTCTTTCCCCAGGCTATACTTACAGGCGGCTTTGGTCTGGCATCTCCCCAAGTGCATTTTGACTTTGCTGCCCATGTGCCTGTCTTCCCCTGATCCCACCCCCAATCTGGTACTGGAACAGGGTGAGGAAGACTTTTCTCTATCCAATTATCTTGCTAGCTTTTCACACACTCAGGCCCTATCCACTGATATCTCTAGCTTTCCACGTTGTCGGTGTAAGAACATCCACCTGCTACCGTCTTGGCTGACCAGGGAGACTCCCTAGTGTCCCAAATAGACTGTCTACTGATAACATTATCATTTTGGTCATCCAGAGTTTTTGAACAAGAATTGGGTCTGTGTCTCAACTTTTTCCTGTGACAATTCAATTTATTTAATTTTGGCAAAGAAAGATGAGGATTATTTAATGAGCTTCCCATATATTCATCACCTATTTTTAATAGTCATTAACATTTCGCTTTCTTTGCTAAAATATTTTATATATTTGAGGCTTTATGATATTTCATTCCTAAATACTTATGTATTTCTAAAAGGACACTTTCTTATATAATCACTCTAGCATATCATACCTAACAAAATTAAAAATAATTCCTCCTAATACCTATTTCTATTTGAATCTTATCAATTATACCAAAATGTCTTTTCATAATAACTTGCTTGATCAAAGATTTCTACATGGTCTGCATATTACATTTAGTTATTATGTCTCTTAAGTCTTTTAGAAGCTTCAAATGTCCCCCTTCCCATATTTTATATCTCTTTTTTAATGTCAAAAATGTGCCTAGATGAATGCAACTTAGTGTTTTTTCTACCACCTTCCCCACCAATGACTTCTGTTATCCTGTGTTCTTTCCTTATTAACAAGGGTCTTTTTGTCACTCCCTGTCATATATACTTCCCCTCCCCCCACCATGGGTTGCCTAGGAGTTTGACCCTGGTTTTTTGTTTGTTTTTTTGTTTTTAATCTCGTCACCTGAGACCATTTTTTTCATCGTTTTTAAAGAGAGAGGCAGGGGGAGAAGAAGAGAGGAGGGGGGAGAGAGAGAGAGACCTCAGTGTGAGAGAGAAACATCTATTGGTTGCCTCTTGTAGGCTCCCCAGCCGGGGACTGAACCCACAACGTAGACATGTGCTCTGACCAGGAACCAAACCCACAGCTTTCTGGTATACAGAATGACACTCAAACCAGTTGAGCCACACGGGCCAGGGCTGGCCCTGTTTTTAATTCATACCAACAAAACAGACAGTGATTAGTTTTGGTTAGCCTCTTACTTTTCAGCTTTTCATTTTATTATCTGAAATTTTAATTTGGGTAAAGAAGGATAACACAATAATAAAGGCTGATTCAAAGAGGCTAAGTAAGTGGACATTGCTTGGGTAGAATGAAACATTAACATCTAATTGTGCTATTGGCTAGAGTGATGTCTTAGCCATAATTCATTCATTTATTAAGTTAAATGGTGTTAGGTAACAGGGATACATAAGAGTGTAGAAGCCTTCTATCTTGTCCTCAAATAATAAATATTTATAATTTTAGATATTAGATATTTACCTAGTAGGAAATGTATACTATCTATAACAAGAGGTAGACTATACAAAGTGTCATAAGTAAAGAATTAATTTAGTGCCATTGGAACTTTTAATGTTTTGGAAGAGATGGTTGCCAGCTAGGGAGGGAGACCGGGGAAAGCTTTATGGGCGAGGTATGCATATAAGGTTTGCTTTAATAATAAATATGGTTAGAGCAAATGAAGTTGCAGTATGGAGACACTCTGAGGTGACAGCATAAGCAGACATGTTGATAGGAATCATAAGAAGGAAGTTTAATGTCAAGGTTTTAGAGTCAGGTAGACTTAAGTTCAAGTTTCATATTTGTCACATATTAGCCATTTAAGGACCTTGGGCAAATTATTAATCTCCTTAAACCTCAGTTTCTGTCTCTAAATGGGGGTTATAATAGAGTTCCATAAAATTGTAGTGAGGATTAATGAGATAGAATATGTGAAGAACTTTTCTTTTACTATGTGTCTAACTATAGCAAGTTCTAGTAAATGTTGACTGCTAATGCTTCTGTTAATAACAAATGTAAGCAATACCATTAAACTAATGTGTTAAGGTGAGTGAACAGAAGAGTGAGAGATATGTTGGAAAGATAGTGGAGAACTTTACTGGTGGAAAATGAAGCAACTTAAGTCAGGTTTTATGGAGATACAACTTACATTCAGTAAAATTCATTCAAATATATATTTTGATGATTTTAACAAGTACATACAGTAGTAGAACTACCACTGTCAAGATATTGAATAGTTTCATCACTGTCATTCCTTCCCTTAGGCACTTTTGGGGTTAGGCCTTTCCCCACATCTTAAAACCTGATGACCTCTTCTGTGATTTCCATCTGTATTGTTTTACCTTTTCCAGATGTCCTATGAATGGAATTACATTACACAAACCGTAGCTTCTTGTCCCAGGCTCCATTCATTTAATATAATACTTCTGAAATTCATGGATATTGTAGCATGTGTTAGTAGTGTTTTTTTCCCTGTTTATGATAAAGTAGTATCCACTGTATGGATGTACCACTATTTCATTATCCATTCATCAGTTGATAGATATTTGGGATATCTTCAGTTTTTACCTGTTATGAGAAATGCTGCTGTAAACAGTTGTGTGCACATCTTTGTGTGGGCATTTGTTTTCATTTCTTTTGTGTAAATACTTTGGAATAGATTGATGGTAGTATAGAAATATAAAACTGCATAACTATAAAAACCGCCAGATTATTTTCCAAAGTGAATGACTACACCATTTTGTCTTCCTACTTGTGATGTTTAAGAATTGTAGGTGCTCTTCATCTTTGCCAGCATTTTTATTGTCTATTTTTTTAATGTTAGTCCTGTAGTAGGTCTGTGTGGAGTGATATCTCATTGTGTTTTTAATTTTCTTAATGACTAATATGCTGACCATCTTTTCATGCATCAGTTTGCCATCCATATCTTTTCTTTGTTTGGTAAAATGTTAAAATTTTTTCTTCATTTAAAAAATTGGGGATAGGGGGTCTTCTCTGGAGCATGCACATACCTTTCTTTCCCCTTTCTTTCTTGGGC